TGTATCTGACAAACTACCCGAACCTCCCTAATTTACTTCCCTTCCCTACCCCCCTTTCCCCCTGGTAACCATTAAGTTTGTTCTCTACCGCCTGTAGAGTCTTGTTTCTTGTTTTAGTAAAATTAAGTTCTATTTGTGTTTTTTTTTTTTAGATTCCACATATAAGTGATATCTAAATGAAAATTCTGACAGGAATCTTACTTTTATCCTGTTTAGGAGTATACATATCTAGGGAGAAAATATTACTTGTGGACTTATGATTTTTAAAAATTAATTCAATTTTATAGAAATGCATTTTTCTTTGTTGTGAATCTTAACATACATGCATAAATACAGTAATAAGAATTTACTAATGAGGGAAGCCATGTGTAATCATTGGGAATAGGAGACAATCACTCAATTTGAGAATCCTTTCTGGAAGCACTAGACAGTTAAAAATATATATGATGTCCATTTAATAACTTTAATAAGTGCTGGTTGATTGGTTTGTTGGTTCTTGAACGAAAGGTAATTAGGGTATAAATGAAACTAGGATCAAGTCTGCCGTCATAAAGCTTATATAAGCTCACTTAAGAAACTCTAAGTCAGTATAAATGGCCTCTAAATTAAGAAAATTAGTATTGAGAGAACAGGAAGTAAATGAGTGAATGAGACTGAATAGTCTAATCAGGAAAGCTTTTTTTGTTTGGGGATGGATTTGCAGAGAGAGAAAATCCCCAGCTAAGAATACATTGAATTTGACTCTGTACTGTGTCCTTTCTGATGTAGTATCAGAAAGCCTTTATGGAATGGAATTAGACTTCAGTTTGTAAAAAGCAAAGTTGTTTCTATAATTTTAACTAAAATATCCCAAATTTCCTGAAAAATAAACTAATACTGAGACATTCTGCCTAAAAGACACTGTTATCATGGTAAATAATAACTCTGCTATTTGCCCATTTATGATCCTAGACAGTAAGTTATCACAGAATCATCACTTTTTAAAACAGATATTATACCAACCTAATTAAGAAAAAAATGCTAATAGATTTTAATTCAATTATGATAAGTATTTATTATATTTGAGACAATAAATAACAAATATGGTGGTTCTATTTCTCTGTTGGATGCTACTCCAAAACACTGATTTAAAATTCTGGAAATACTTATTTTTAACTAAGCATTATGTGTGGGTTAAAAATGAAAAGAAAACATAGAAGAGAAATCCCACAAGTTCCCACTACGATATTTGCCCTCACATCTGCCTCTGAGCCCTTTGGCTCTGCTCTCTCTCCTCTCGTGTTATGGATGAACCGTCTCCACGCCCATGCACTGGACACAGCATCCCATCCCCTCTCATCTTCTAAAGACCCCTATTCTAGCAGCCCTCCCTTCTCTCTCCTGCATAATCAACTTTACTCTCTTATTCAGATCTTTTCCTGTCAGTATATAAACATGCCATTATTTCTCTCATCATCTTAGAGAAACCCTTTCTTCATCCTTCTTTTCTGTCTCGCTGCTGCCTTGTGTTTCTGCTCTCATGCACAGCAAATCTTTTTGAAGAAATTTTGTATATCTGCCAACACCGTTTTCTCATCTCCCACCCTCTCTTGAACTGACTGGAGTCTCAGGCTTTTCCCCCACCACGCCAACAAATCTGCTCGCACTGAGGTTGCCGGTGACCTCTGCTTAGCTCCCTGCCGGGGTCAGTTCTCAGTAGCATCTTTTATCTGACTAGCCAATAGCGTTGGACACAATTGATTATTCCCTCTGCCTTGAAATGCTACACTCCCGCTTTAGGGCTTTTACTCTTGCTCCTTCTCCTGGTATTTGCTCAAATGTCAGCCTCTCAGAGAAGCCTTCCTGTCCACTCTGTCTAAAATCACACCTCTCCTCCCAGCCCCCAGTTGCATTTTGTCTCCATAGCAGTTATCACTGTCTGATAGATTATATTGTTATCTTTTTCATTTTTTTTCTTTTTTTTCTCCGTAGAATTTAAATTCCACTAGACCAGGGGTGTTTGTCTGTTTTGTGCATTAGTGTTTCACTAGTGTATCACCAATGCCTAGAGGAGTGCATGGGAAGTACCTGGCACATACTAGATACTCAATAAATATTTGTTAGATGAATGAATTAATGAACTTTTGGTATTTAATTACTAGATAATAAGTGTGCCTTGGTACACCTTCAGAAATCAGAAATTTTGATTTTGTCATCATAAAGCATGTTGCCATATTGCTTTTAGGTATGATGACTATGATTATGGAGAAGTTAATCAATTACTTGAACGAAGCCTGAAGGTTTACATTAAGACGGTGACCTGCTATCCGGAGAGGACGACCAAGCGCATGTATGACAGTTACTGGCGTCAGTTCAAACACTCAGAAAAGGTGTGTTTCACGGCTCAACATTATACCATAGACAACTGTTCAATATAAGAAGTAATGATTCTGAAAAATTATACATGAAAATATTTATAAATTAGGACCACTGGAAAAATAGAAGTGGCATCATCTCACCATCTGTTTTTTTTTCTTTTCAATGTTTTAAAATTCAGGTTTATTGAATAATAACTAAATTTTGGTTATGTGTTTT